ATTAACAACTATAGACCAATTAGCTTACTGGCAAATATATACAAAATCTTCTCATCTATAATTCTTAAGCGCATAACACAAGAGATTGAAAACTCACAACCAATTGAACAAGCTGGCTTTAGATCTGGGTTCAGTACTCTAGATCATATACAAGCGCTGGGCCAAGTTATAGAAAAATACGAAGAGTTTAATAAACCTCTTTATCTGGGTTTTATCGACTACAGCAAAGCTTTTGACAGCATCAGCCACATCTTTATATGGAAATCACTAAGAAAACTAAACATAAATTCAAAATATATAAATATCATAAAATACATATACAACAACAGCACAAGTAAAGTTAAGCTAGAGTCAAGAGGTGAAGCAATTAATATAGAAAGAGGAGTTAGACAGGGGGACCCTCTGTCACCCAAATTATTTATTGCCGTTTTGGAAGATATATTCCAAAATATAGATTGGAGAACTAGAGGCATAAAAATAAACAACTCCTATCTTAGCCACCTCAGATTCGCGGACGACATAGTTATACTGTCTGAAACAGCAAGCGAACTGCAAGATATGCTATGCTCTCTTGATCAAGCAAGCTCAAAAATAGGATTAGAGATGAATGCTACAAAAACCAAAATTATGACAAACAGCATAGAACAGCCCATAAAGGTAAACGGAAAATCTATTGAATATGTCCGCAATTACATCTACCTAGGCAAACAATTGACACTCTCGAAAACGCTTAATGAAAATGAAATTGAAAGAAGAACAAACATAGCATGGAAGAAATTTTGGTCACTCAAAGAAATACTTAAAGGAGATTATTCTATAAACCTGAAAAAAACGGTACTAGACACTTGTATATTACCTTCCCTGCTGTATGGCTGCCAAACTTGGATATACACGGCAAAAACAAAACAAAAGATCACAACAACCCAAAGAGCTATGGAGAGAAGCGTCCTGAACATAAGGAAAATACATAAAGTCAGAAACCAAAAAATAAGACAAAAAACAAAGGTAACAGATGCCCTTACACAAGCACTAAAACTGAAATGGCAATGGGCAGGCCATGTATCAAGATACACAGACAACAGGTGGACAATCAAAACTACAAAGTGGAAAGGACCAGTTGGCAAAAGAAAGGTAGGAAGACCAAAAAGAAGATGGGCTGACGATATAACCGAATTTACTGGAAAGGACTGGTTAGCAATCGGCAGGGATAGAGATGAGTGGAAAGGTCTGGAGGAGGCCTTCACCCGAGGAGGGGTCCGTACCCAATAACTAAGATAACCCTTACTAACACCTAGGTATAAGCAAAACTATTAACTTGTAAAATACTAACCAAGAAAATACCAACATTTGAATTGTAATTTAAGGTTATGGAAATAAAGGCTTTTTATTTATTTATTTATTTATTTTATATGGCAATAGGCTCACCCCCTATTACGCGTTCCGCGCGCGCCTCAACAAGCCATCAGACCACCACAGATGGGTCCCAACAGGGCCGATGCCGATTCGGAGTCGCGGAGAACCTAACGGGTAACCGGGGCTCCGGCTCGACGTGCAGGAGAAGGAACGGGGTGGTTTTTAGTCAGTAGGAGCCTGACACTCCCTCCCGCCTCGCCCAGGCAGAAGCAGACATTTGATAATTTTCCCCACTTAACAAAAAAATAGTCCCACGGGAGACAGGCGTGAAGTTATGTATGTACGAATATAATAAGCTGTAAAGGCCATTCTGGAATGTTAAGTTAAAAATAGATGTTTCAAGATTTAGCTTTATATTCCATACTTCTTTATAGGTAGTATTATATATCTCACAGCACAAGGTACAATAAAACTGTCGTTTAGAACCATAGATATGACAAAGGGTGTTATTTTGAAACGAGTCCTGAGCCCTGTCGTTTGCATTCTGATATCACGCGTTCCGTTTAACGTGGTGGCTCTGGCCATAAAGACTGCGATTTATTTTATTTTATACTCAGGTGTTACTAGAATTAAAAGGAGTTGGTACCCTATAAATAGACTGCCTCGTTGGCCGAGTGGTTGCAAGTACGACTGCCGAGCAAGAGGTCTCGGGTTGCCGGGTCGGGCAAAGTATTACTGGGTTTTTAAAAAATAGTCAGTAGTAGCACGGACTCTGGAATTGTGCCTGGTATAAGGCAATAGGTTCACCCCCTATTACATAAAAAGTGTTACATTGTACAGTGGCATAATATGCACCTCTGCATACCCCGTCGGGGATAAAAGGAGTGATGTTATGTGTTATGCGTACCTTATAAATGTATCTGCTTTTCGTTTTGTTTTAGAACCTTCTCGAATTAGTAATGTGTGCGTAAATAATATTTTATATGAACCTAACCGTTCGAACATATGAGACTTATAGACACTAGTACACAATTATTTCAATGTTCGAACCTCCTACACATCGTCTTCTTAGTCGTTCTCTTCATTGCTGAAGGTCGAATCTAATCTAGTTCACGCGTCACTTGATGCACAACCACTGCACAACCCTCCTCCAAGCGCCCCTGTCCTCTGCGGTCTTTATGGCCTGTGGAACTGGCTGGTGAGGTTTTTTACAACATCTAGCCAACGGGCAGGTTAACGACCACGAGGTCTTTTCCCATTAAGCTGACCAACAACCACAGGGTTCTCCTGATTGTTGGGGTCTCTACGCGCAATGTGGCCGAAATTGGTTAGTATTCGCTGCGGTGGATAACCTAAAACAACGTAACTAGCGAAAAATGTACAAGCAGTATGCTACTACTTATTCCTATTCAGAATAGCAGGCGCAATGTGATTATGTTATCTAAATTACACTATCTAGAGTATCTTCCTGCGTCATCACAATGTTTCTCGCTGACTTCAAAGTCCACCCTGAAACCTTCATGAATGATGTATGTAAGACATCAGTTATCTGATCACGGAATGTATTACAGCGCCACCTATATACTGGGAGTCTAAACTATCGTATTTCTTCATACAACGGACATTCAAACGTGTGAATGTTAATGTTTGATGCCCACTGCAGTGTAACGTTGAAGGTAAATAAATAAATGAGATCCATACCATATTTGTTACTAACATGAAATGGACTCTATTGTTGATAGATTAGAGTGCTGTTTTGACATATAAATCTTAATCTTAAGTGATATATTAAATTCGAAACTAACGCTGTTTAGTAAAGTTATACTTAGTATGTAAATACCTCTACAGATAGTCATAAGTTTTTATTTGCACAAATATTTAAAAAAAATCAGGATTCAGAATATGTTAAAAATTATCCCCGAACATTTTACTGATAAAAATAAGAGCGACAATAAAAGACATGAAATATCGATTTCATTGCGTATTGACGCAACTTAAAATAGACTACCATTTTCCACCATGAGTTTCACCCAGTCAATTTTAACTTAATGCTAGCGACCCCTGCCGTAGCATATCAGCGTAAAATTGTATTCAAAGGCCTTCATTTTTGAAATATGAACATGGATTGAAACAAAAGAGTTTGGAACGCGCGAGTCATTGCCGCGTGTATGATGTTCTGTGACATTCTGTCATAGTGAACTGTGACCCTTACCATTGACATGTGTCGCGTATGATCCCTGGAAAAATATAACACGTGCATTTTTTGAGCCCCCATACAACCTTTTGGACTAGGGGTTTGTTTTAAAAAAGGTGTTTTTTGTACCCTTGTTTGATGTGATGCAAAGCTTTTTAGAAAAAACTGTACAGTTGTTAGACATTTCTCGTGTGTTTTTTTTATATAGTCCGAGATAAATCTCTAAAATGTGATGAGAACTTCTTCAGTAATATTTATGAATAGAACAGAGTCTGCATTTGTGACATCTTACAATAGACTCGTCGAAGATTAACAATGAAAGTACATGGTTATACAGTACAAATATGAAACCAAATTTAAAAATAGATAGTTTAACTACAACTAAACAAATCATAATTAATCCGCTACCAATTATCTAGAATACACCAAGCTGTATCGATAGCAAATTTCATTAGACGTTAAACGAATACCAGCAATTATTGAACTACGGTTTAAATTAAACTTTGAGTATTAACAGGAAGTTTAACTGAGAATTTAACTACCAACTAATTAGTATTCAATATTTTAACGTAATCAATTTATTTTCTTTGGAATGTTCGAAGGAATGAACCGTTGAGATAATTGCTTCTTTCTATTGATTATCTAATAATTCAAAAACCGAAATGAAATTTACATCTGCGGTGGTGTCTATGGGTAGCGCTGATGACCAACATATGGTCCGTCCGCTCGATTTATCTATCCCATAAAAGAACCAACAAGCTATGAATGTATAGTATATCATTGTCCCATTTTTTTCTCTAAGGCATTTACAAGATTATCTAAAATTACACGGAAGATTATAAATCATCCGAGAGCTTGAATAAAAGGGTGGAATAACGTTCCATGCAAGGGTCACAATGAAGATATAAAAAATAAATCAAAGCGAAGTCGGCCGTGCAAAAATGTTAAGATATGCTTAACCCTAACGTAACGATCCTGCGGACGCTTAGGGCTGCCCGTTTATGCTAATTTTCAAATATTATTTTACGATTGCTCCTGTCATAATTAACCTTACTAAACAAACAACCGTCTGGCAATGAATTTGATTAAAAATCGAGAAAAATTATAAAAAATAATCGAATATTAACACGGAATTTGAATATTTTGCTCTATAAGCCAAGTTTGCATTACATTAACCCGTGTGTGAATGACTAGAAATAAGTCATTAACTTATGCTTATATTTATCTTGTGTGAAAGCACGACGGTACGTGTAAATACTAGCACATCAGTCAGTGGGCAGCCCTACCATTGCTTTAGGGCGCAAGTTTCTTTCAAATTCATCCATCTTTTGACAGCCCGGGGTGGGTCAGTTAGACCGACGGACGTGCCCGGGGGTTGGAGGGGGTAGGAAATGAGATCCCCACCCTCTGGAACGTTTTGCATACAGATTGGGTTGGACGAAGTTCGCGAGATATGGTGGACATCAGAACATACGTGTTTCAGAGGTACGCAACCGGGACAGTGGTACCGCGGTGGGTCAATTCGGTTTTGGCAAGTTGCCGTGTTACGGTTTTCGGGTTTTCGTTCGAGAATTTGTTACAGGTAGATGATAAATTATGAATGTCTCTTTTTTCTTATTGTTCCTTTTATAAATGCGAGTTGTTTTCTCATTTGTTGGTGTACTTGGGCAAGTTCGGAGTTTATTTATAGATATTGTTTGTTTTGTATGTCGTGTGTGTTAATGATGGCATGTAAGAAGACTTTTGAAATATAGATAGTGTCTTTAACTGTGTTGGAGGACCTAATGAAATCGTATTTACTTGGTAAATTACAAACACTTCTATTACTCGCTCAACGAAGACTGTTCTCTTGATAAATATTCACCCAAAAAGCCGTGCGTGAAATAGAAATATTTCATGCCTCTACTATTTCTTTATTTGCAGAATAATCCCATTTTAGTTCTTACATTTTGTTCGCTGTACACAACTTTTTGCATACAAATGTGGCATTGCATATACAGTGGTTTATAGTAGTAGACAGTTTAAAAGGCCGGTGGTCATTCGAGCTCCATTACCGCTTGACCCTCCCCTTGCCTTTTTGTTTCCTAAATGGACTATTTACCTACCTACATAATTTAGACTGGAGCCCACCCAACTACGAGTCTCATTTTTCACAAAAACATTGTTTACAAAAACATTTTTGTAAAAATACAAAAGTTTATTCAGTTTTATGTTGCTGTTTCCGACGTTATATGTTGGATTAAATGTTTTATTTTTGTTTTTTTTTTGTAATAATGACATTTTACTTTTTAGAAAAGTATTGTAACATGTCATACTTTTTATCAGTCGCGTCTGACATAATTGTTTACGCAAGAACCTTTGGGCTACTACTAAATACGAGGCATACAAAAAAATTTCACTTAGCATTATTAAATCTTCTTCTTTTATCAGACTTGGCAACTTTCACTACCAACTTATATCGACAACACAAATTAAACTGGTAATTATCTCTCGGTAACAATGTAATCGTAACATTTTTCCATACACTGGAGCCACAGAAACACAGAATCCCCAGTTGGATAAAAGTATAATTGGATTTTGTTGGTTTAAAAAACTGGGTTCCCGATAAATTGGTATAGACTCGCCCCCTATCACCTGGGACCTAACGTGTAGGGGGGACTGAATGTATTATACGATGGGATAAAAAAATATAAAAACTGCCTCAACTTTGTTCGTAACATTACTAATTTTGAAGCAACTGAAATATTGATGACAGAGGTGCTGCACTCACTTTTGAACGAGTACTGCCTTTCTTTGAGGAGATAGGCAGAGGTGCTTACTTTACTTTTTACGAGAAAGCAGTCTATAATAATTAAAGATGATTGGGTTTTTAACTGTAAACGTAAGTCTATATAATTATTACTACTGATCAAAGATAATGAAATGGAAAATAAGGTGAAATTACTATAGAATCTTCTTCTATATAATCCAAGTAATAACTAAATAGAAGGATTATAAAAAATAGCTAATAAAATCTCAATCTCAGCCGGCCGCAAGCTAAACGTAAACCTTTTAAAAATCACTTAACTTTAAACGATAAAGTGAAGAACGATTATTCACACGGCGACATTATCGTTCCAAGCGAGCATGATTGATTGAACATTGATTCGTGACGGTGTGAATGCGGCCGCGGGCGGTCTATTACGACCGTGTATCACACCGACGCGTGTGTTCAGGGAAAGTAATTTCCCTTTTATTGTTAGTGATAAATAACAGGAATTTTAGGGAATGATTGCGCTGTTTTCGTGAACAGGGATGTGTGAGTCAAGGTAAAACTGTTAGCTTTTATTAAATGATATACATTGAAAATGATTAGTTATCATTTTTATTACAAAATAATGACGTATTGATGTTGTTTCTTGCATAACTTTATAGAAAAAATATATGTTATTTACTAACCTAACTAAAATCTCTATCACGAGAATCGTTAAACATAAATTCTACTACAAAATAACATGTAAATATTTGTAGCCAAAATTTTGGCTCGTAGCGCGTAGCAACCTAGCTTCGTAGCGGTTCGTAGCCGGCAGCGCTACGCAGGGCGGCGCGGTAACGTAATTATTGAATAATACGGCGCGCGCGAGCTACGCCGGCTACGATTATCGGCTACGGCAATCGTAGCGATAATCGTAGCCCGTAGTCGATGTAATGCTACGGGCTAGATGTTTTACAATGAGTAGCTTTCTAATGATATTTAATTATTGGTATGAATATATTTATTAACAAATAGTTTTTATATTCTTGTATTATATTAATATTGAGTTAAAAGAACATTATTATGTTCCTAAAATATTTATTTAGCTTCCAAACTCATTGAATATTTATTGTCTCTAACAACAAGCCTTTAAACGAACTACTGTATTTGTTTTGTAACACAAAAAACAAAATAAACAAACACTCAGATACTCTCCTCATTTCATTCATCACGAAAACAAATAAAAAAAACATTGACAGAAAAACAAATAAAATATATATATACAGTAAGTAAGTTTTTATTTGGTTTTCTTTAGTAGTTTCTTGTGACAACGAAATATGGACGGACAGAAGCTAGCAATCACGATAACGACGACATTTGTAACGATACGACACGACTACGACACGAATACGACATCTACAGGGTGGAGAGTTATGTTACTATAAGTTTTTGTAACAGAATGTATATGTATACAGGGGGTTTGATAAGTGACATAAATAGATAATTTTTGAAAATTTAAATCCGAAACTGGATTATCAGAATCAGAATCATCATTTATTTGTTATCACTTTGGCATTGTATATTTTTATTACTTTGGTTGACATGTACCACAAATATTATACAACATAACATCACGCCTCTAATTCCGTGAAGGGGTAGGCAGAGTGGAAAAATCACCCTTTATCAGTTCACACTATAAACCTAATTAGCATGACTCCGGAACGGCGCTTTTTGCTTTGAAAATAATATAAAAAAGTTTTTTACAATTTTTAAATGTCAAGATAATTGCTTGATTGGAGCCGTGCTTGTTAGGTATACGTTGCCCTTAATACACCAACAAGAAAAACACTTAACTATAATACTAGCTGTTGATAATAAAAAAGTTACAACCTGAAGGTAGTTATCGACGCGACAGAAATATATAAAGAACTAGCTTCTGCCCGCGACTTCGTACGCGCAATCCCGATATTTCCCGTTCCCGTTCTTGATTTTCGGTAAAAAGTAAAAAAAAAGAATTGGGTAAAAAGTATCCTATGTCCGTCTCCTGGTTCTAAGCTACCTCCCCACTAATTTTCATCCAAATCGATTTAGCCATTCTTGAGTTATAAATAGTGTAACACGACTTTCTTTTAAATATATAGATTTCAGTTTCAGATATCGCTATAGTTAATAGAAAAGTTCTTGTTAACAGTTAATATTACGGAAAGCCTTTTTATTACATTTTTATAGTTCAAAATAAGTACCTATGTATACAGTACGTGGCTATGGACTTATTAATGGATTGAAATTAACCACTTAACAAATAAACCTTTTAATTATCGTGAAATATTGAGGTAGGTATTATGTTAAATGTATTAGAAAATCCATTGGGTATTTATGAGTGGTCTTCAAGAGATAGTTTGGTTATGTATTTTAAGTTGTACATAATATTTATTTATTTCCTTATTTCTAAAAGTAATTCTAAAATTACTAAGATTTTCTATATTTATAAAAACAAAAGTTTCAACTTTTCGATTTCTTTATCCTAATGAATATTATTAAACCAATATTTAATAAAACTTGAATGTAGTCTACAATCTCCTACAACTTACTATTAATTAAAAAAATAAATAAACAAAACCACAAGCAACCAGCTACACACATCAACAGCCTATAATGCCCACTGCTGAGCAAAGCCTCTTCCCACACGGAGAAGGTTTGAGCATTAATCTGTCAAACACCAAGCGGTCACCGGTGACCGCGACCTATTGTTCTTTAATTGTGTCTATAAAACCGGTACTCGACGAGTTAAACTGTCAAACACTGCAAGGACACCGGTGACCGCAACCTATTGTTCTTTAATTGTGTCTATAAATACGGTACTCAAAGGGCTAATCACCACGCTTGCTCAATGCGGGTTGGCGATTTCAAACTTACAATTATAAATTATAAGCCCAGGTTTCCTCACGATGTTTTCTTTCACCGTTTGTCAGTGGTGTCTGATTAATCTTAGAAAGTACATATAACTCGGAAAAAGTCACATTGGTACTTGCCGTTGGTAGGTTTCGAACCCGCACCATCATGCATGAGAAGCGGGCATCTTAAACCTCCGAGCCACCACGACAACTACTAAGCTATAAAAGTATTCTTTATTGACTTTGTACATAGTCTTGATAATACAGTACTTAACGTTATATGTACTGGTTTTATCTGTTAGCCTGCAATAAACTGCCGGCTTCCCCACTAATGTTTAATAGTTGGTGCGAAATTATTTCTCCAACCTTCCTTGTACTTAGGCTGAGGTTTCATTGACATTTTTTATTACAACTCGTGTATGGGAATAAAAAATATTACGTACTTAAGTTTGGAAATGAAATGGTGAATGATAAACTGGTAGGAAACTTGCATGAGACATTTGTATGGCTTTTAGTGTAAATGTTGAGAAAATATGTGTTTTTTTTTTCGGTGGCAGTCAAAAACAGTAGTAACATTCAAATGAGAGAGGATTTATTCGTATGTTATTATGAAGGGACACGAAAAACAAGCACACGAATAAATTCGCTTCACAGATGATCCGCCATTTTGCCCATAAACAAAACAGTCGCAGGTGCGTCGTCGCGGTTTAAAAAAACGCGTCATTTGCACGCACCCTTAAGCATTTACGGTGGCTGTGTCCCGTAATTACGGCGTTTGTCCAACATTATCATAGTAGAGTACGTCCAATTTCGGCTTGACGACTTTTTTACGAGTTTTCGACTCGTAAGTAATTTACGATGTCGTAAAGTTTCCGTGCTCGGCATATCGTGTTGATAACAATGTACTAAGATGTTTTAGTGAATTGTTTCTTTGATGGCTTAATGTAAGCTCAAACTAACTACTAACCTTTAAATCCGCTTTAAAATAGAATATAGACCAAGGTCACGAGAAAATCGCCTACTTTCACATACATTCACATATTTAATTGTTGAATTGCTGTATAAGGTATTCGGATCTTGTACTGGAAATTCGATATTACTTTATACCTCGCAACATAAACATTTGATTGAAAACTGTTTATCCGAAGAAAACCCGCGCTCCTTAGTCGCTAAAACCGACCCAGTGTAGCCATACCAAAATAATCGTATTCCCAAAATTCTAATTCCGCCAACCACAGGCCAGTAAACCAAGTGACTGGGTTGCCAGTAAGCTAAATAAAGTAATTTATGGTGTCGTAAACATTCAAGGCATATCGCTTGATAACAATGTGTTAAGATATTGTTGGGAATAGCCACGCGATGCCTTTCTTGTTCGCGAGGGGTTGAAATTGAAGATATAGTATAATGCATGCTTTTAGTAATTGTTGCTTTTTATTTTTCGTTCGGTTTGTAATGAAGTTGTTTAATGGTTTACCGTTTATTGGGTGTTCGATATTTTTGTATAGTCTACTTTAAACAGAGAAAAAAAATCTAATTTTTATTTTGATTAATACTTATAGGAAAAGAAAACATATTGAGAGTCTAGTAAAGCCCTTTACTTACTCTTAGCCCTAAGATGTATGTATGTTAAGCAAAAAGTATGATATCTGAATCGATACTCAGTCGGTCAGGAAAAACATAATGAGTTTTTTTCGATGATATCACTAATTCTTTTTTTCATGGGACTCATGAGTATTGTATGAGAGAGTACTCATGATATAAGAAAATTGTTCTCTGAACTTGAAATTTATTTATTTATTTATGTGGACATCCAGTTGTTGCTACATTTTTATCATTAACTTAAAACTAGGAATTAACAACTTACTGCTAATGCACAACATTTGAAGGACATCACAGCATGCGTTGAGTTGAGAACACTATATCAATTAAATAAAGATAAGAAGAGAAATAAAGATTACTATTCTATGACGTCTAATGAAAAGTTCTATTTACTCTTTTGAGGAATACAATTCATCAAACGTGGGTGACGTGACTTCTCTCATATGAAACACAGCACTGAGATATTCCGATTCATTGTATAATAATGACTCCTATGTGTCTGTGCGTTGGTACCTGTCCACGCGGCCTCCAATATCCGGCAGGAAGGAGTTACTCCCGAGCAATTTGCATTTACTGCAACTACATTCAAGTACGGTTATTGAATCTCTCTGTCTGTTAGTTACTCAATTCTATTGGTAGTTATAACTTTATTTTTAGGAGAAACTTGGAGGCCTATTTTTTAGTTATTACTTTTATCGGAGTAGGTTCTATATGGCAATAGGCTCACTCTCTATTACATGGGACTCATAACATAAATAGTGAAAAGTGGGTGTAACTTATGTGTGCACTTCTGCCTACCCCTTTAGGGATAAAAGGCGTGATGTTATGTTTATGTTTTATCGGAAACTGTTTTATACTAAGTAAGCAAAGGTAATAATAGTCATGAGTTCGATCCTCGAAGATCACATTAGGCTGCTCGATTTTTTTTTTAAATCTCTTCATCTATGCTACTCTTTGTCTCTGGTTTGAGGCTCTGGTCAAGCAACGTGTTCTTTATTTTCAAATTTCGTCTTTAATATATTTTGATTTAATTTATAAGGCTATTCGCATAAATACCCTTATGAATATTATGTAGCAATATACTTTTTTGTCATAGAAAAAGTTTTTATTGTATTCTCATAAAAAAAATACAACTAGCACAATAATTCAAAAAAAGACGCATAAATTATTCAGAACTAAATTATATTTTAACTGTACTAACATCATTACACGCTGAAACCTATTTTCAGTGCCCATTATATTATTTTCATGAAGCCTAATGTATTTTTAATTTGATGTACGAAAGCACGTTAATCTATACCTTACATTTGTAATCTGCTCTTTCTTTATAGAAAAAGAAAATATTATTAAAAAACAATAATACAAAACTTATCATTCCCTAAAGAAGTAAATCATATATATATATGTATATCAACAACATATAAATGCCCACAGCTGAGCAAAGCCTCTTCTCGCACGGAGAAGGTTTGAGCATTAATCACCACGCTTGCTCATTGCGACGCCAACTTATAACTTATAAAGTGAAAAACTTATAAAGTCATTAGAAATTATAAGTCCAGGTTTCTTTACGATATTTTCTGTCACCATTTGTCAGTGATGTCTAAATAATCTTAGAAAATCGCCTGTAGCCTTCGCCGATAGATAAACTATCCAACACAATGAAACAAAAAACTATCAAACAAATAAGTTTTTTCAAATCGTACCAGTACTTACTAAGATTAGCGCATTCAAACAAATAAACAAACTAGTCGGCTTTATTTAATAATATAAGAAGTATATTCAAAATCAAAATCACTAATTTTAATTAGACCAAGGAGACACTTTTGAACGACAACAAAATATTTTAATAATTAAAAAAAAATGAGTCTGTCGGTCAGTCCCTAGTGAAGCTATTTGCTATGGAGAAGAACGAGCAAGAAACTCCATAAGAGTTAAAGAGTGAAATATAAGATTAGTAGCATTGGAAAAATCTTTCTTCATAATCTGTGGTACAAAAACTTGTGACCTCTAACCTGTCACCGCTACCTGGCTACAAATTAATTTTATCCCCTCGCTAACTTACAAACGTTATTTTTCCTTCCCACAAATAACATAGCAATAAATTTACAATTTTCTACGAATAACCGTATAAGATTTTACGAGGACAGATAGGTGAGGTATAATTACATATAGTATATCTACTATATCTATACTATGCGGGCGCTATCAGGGACAGCGCCTGCGACAATATTAATGGCAACAAATACCAAGATAATATTTTCGGGAACATAAATCGGTGATATTTAAGCTTTATCTACGAATTAACGGCTATTGAAACTGTTTACTATTTGCGTTATATTTGGGCAATTAAGACTGAAATTGTATGTTATTTTTCTTGAAATTGGTCAGTGGTTACTTTATTATTACCTACAGCCTGTAATTATATTTGATTTGGGAATTTGTCTTTATTGCAATCAAATGTCTACTTATTAGTATAAATGCCATAAGGAAACCAGAGTTACCTAATCGCTTTTTCAATAAATCTACTTTTCTAAAACCACTATTCATTCGAACCCTCGATTCGATATAACCTTAACAGCCAAGGTACTTCTAATATAGAATAACAACTTTAATAAAATTCCTTTACAAAAGCAAGCAACAATGCGAAATAATAAAACAAAAATAATTGTTGGTACATATCATTGTAGGAAATTAGTGAGCGTGGTTCAAAGCCGAGCCGAGTCGGTTCCACGGCACGCGCGGCCGGCCGACCTACTCCTAACAAAGCTTATTTGTTAAAACTACTCTTGGAACTCGAAATCAACTTGCGTTTAACTCGAAAGTTATACATTTTTATAGCACAATTTAATTTAAATGCCTGTGTGCAAATGCGGACTTATAATTTATAAAAATATTTTTCTATTTTACAGTCAAAATGACAGAGTCGACTTTCAATCAATTTTTGATATCTCAATTTCATACACTGCTTGGACTTGAGTTGTTTATATTATAACGGCTCTGGACTTAAATTGCTGATAAAACACCACTAAGCTTAAGCTCTTTCTAATCAACTGCCACTTTACTGATATTCTTTCCTTACTATATATCAGAAGCTGATTGTAAAAAAAATACTACAACCCCAAGATATTTCCTTCTTACACAAAAGTGATAAACCTTCTCGAATATACAAAAAAACAAATAGTAGCGGCAACGAAGTCGCAAATTTCGCCAAAGCGAACGTATTACGTATACGCTGAGACGTGAAAACGCCCGTAACTGTAATGTAATACGCTCTTAGTGGCTGAAATATAACTGCCTTGTATTATCATGTATGAGCACTATTAAGGACCGAGAGAGAATTATATGAGATTCAGGAGAACTGTTTATGGTATATGAAATGTAATAAAGTATGTGCTATGTTTTATTCGTGGTATTGTAAATTATATATTGATTAGTACATAGGTATGTTAGTACATAGTAGCACGGAGTCTGGAAATGTACCCGGTAGATGGCAATAGGCTCACCCCCTGTTACATGTGACTCATAACATAAATAGTGAAAAGTGGTACATTGTACAGTGGCATTAAGTGCCGTAATGTGCACCTCTACCTACCCCTTCGCGGATAAAATGCGTGATATTATGTTATGTAGTACATCTGTATTGTTCTTATGTGTATAAATGTGTATAAACGGTAAACGAAAAACTTTGATTATATATACGGACTCTTTTTGAGGGGGAAATCATCCCAAGGCTCGGGAATATGAAGCATTGGAGCCTTCCGCCTTGGGTGAGGTGGAAGAGAGAACCTAACGGGTAACTGGGCTCTGGCTCGACGTGCAGGAGAGGGAACGGAGGGTGGTTTTTAGTCAGTAAAAGTCTGACACTCAGTCATTCGATGATTTTCCCCTCTTAAAAAAAACCCTTAGTCGTCCGCAGCTCCGGATGATAAATATGAACTACAGCTCATCATAAATTATGTACCATTCTTACTAGATGAAGTTTGCATATACAGATTTTTACGTATTTGAATACGGTATTTTATTATTTGTACAAGTTTAATACAAGTATTCAAACATGGTATTAATATAATTGTTTCTTTTTTGTTCCAGGAGAGCACATTTAAGAAGTTGCTTGGAAAAATTAAAGGATATGGTACCCTTAGGCCCCGAAGCGTCGCGACACACAACTTTAGGATTATTAACGAAAGCCAAAAGATTTATAAAGGTAAGTGATATAATATAACAAAGAAAATTATAATTGACCCTCGCTGAATAAGTTCTATGAACATTGTTCTACTTTGAAGATGTCTCTTTAGGAATACTATTTTATAGGATAATATTTACCACTTTACAAAATTTGAACTTTTACTAGGCATTTCAAAATAATACGTAACATTCGCATAAGCCTTTAAAACTAAGTCAGTCACATGTATTTACTGTGCCCAGTGAGACGTTCTCTATTAACGGAGCTCCTAAATCCGGCCATCCTTAATATAACTTGACCTAAGTCAGTATTAACTTAAGCTATCCGTTCTCAAGTTGGTCGTTAACTTCAACCAGCTAGTTTACATAGAAATATTTCTAGTTTTAGTACATTTGTATATTTTATAGTGGAGGTTTTACTAAGTCTTGTTTTTATTATAATAGTGGGACTTTGATTCTTTTGTATATCTGTTTAAAAGTAGCTACTCCTATGCTTAAGTCGTACGTGTAAATCACAAGGATTCAATTCTTACGGTGCTTATTATCTATGGAGTTATATTATAAAGAGCTAGGAATCCCTTTACTGTGTACTCAAATATGGACGATAATTATACATTTTTTTTTGTTTACGGGGGGAAATCTTTAAAAGGCTTTTTGGGGGAAAATACTAAGGAGTGTGGAATTTTTACCTCACCAAAACCTCCCCGGTGGCCACCATCCGCACTTGAAGGAGGCACCGGGTCATCTTAGTAACTTAGTAGACCAACCCCGGAGCCCCCACGGTGCAATGCCTGTTACGGCACCTCCCTATGGAGACCTATGAGTTTATGTGTTAATTATACACATACCAGGGTGCTTGCTCTAGAAACCAATCTCAATGTCAATGCAATTTTAATCCAATAAAATCAATAATTATTCAATGTCAACACTATACAACCACAATCGCAGCTATTACAATAGCATTCAGAGTACGGAATATTAAAGCCAAACTCAATACCATTTAGTTCATTAAATATCCACGCAATATGGATGCAATGGGCGCTAGTGTTGCAACTCAAGAGTACGAAATTTCGCAATACCAATGTCGATCGATCGGAATTTGATTCAAGAGTAAGTCCCCTGCTCTGTAAAAATAAAAGCAGAATAATATAATAGCCACAATGTGATAGCCACATCTAATTTAAGCTATGACATAAATCTGCCAATCAGTCAAAAATCCAAGTGAGCAAATCACCGAAAGTAAGCCAGTTACCCACACAATTGGCGAACAAATATACCGTACTATCTCCTTACTTACGACCCCACCCGAACATCTGCAAAAACAATTAAGATAATCCCCCCTTGTCCATGTTTTTTCTACAACTTGTCAGCTAAACAGGCAACAAACTACTTCTTTTATTACACGTCTGTTGACTGTCAAAATGTAATATAGTTTTTCTTGTGATCCTAATTATTTTAAGTGCACTCCCATCCTGTATTATGTCTACTTATGTGTCATCTCAGAGTATGTACACTTTATGTCCAAATGTGCTAAAATACTATTGGCTGTTTGAAGTTTTCATATTGATAATAATATTACGTAGTTTAAATATTGTCAAAGGTTAAAACCAATAAGATCAACCTCTTACTGCCTAAGTAGGCTGCGCGCGCCCGCGAACGCTGCTCATGAGAAAGAACCCCTCTGTGGTTCGAAACTAGTAGAGCTTTTCTCAGTATATTTACGTGAGTAACCCGCGATTTTTAGTTAATTTAGTATGTCTCACGATAGTTATTATAAAAACAAGATCACCCTCTATATAATATGACTCAATACAGGTGTAATAGATCCTTCTCAATGGTATAAAGCGAATATTCAAATTATATCAAGCGTATACGTCTTCTTTATCTCTATTTTATATTTACGTAAATAAATTATCCTGAACAAAAGACGATTACAAGTCTATTCTATCATGTCCAAAAAAAATGTTCCCGAGTAAAGTAAGATCATTATTAATAGACCCAAGAAACTCGTCGCTGTGTAAATATTTGATGTCCAAAAAATAAGAACTTTACAGCGAGCGTTTTCTTTTAAACTTTTTTCATTAAACAACCGCTGAAAGGGCGAATTTCAGGATTATTTGCCGCCCTTACAGCTGAATTCTGGTGTCGGTCGCATCGCAGCAACGACATCCGTTTCCTGTTTTGCGTAATAGTTGTGAGAAAGGCTTTTGTCGCTGGGAAATACGGACAGTATATCAAAAGCGCTGGTGGCGCCATCTGCGAGATGTATTGTTGTAGCGGTGCCTGTCAAAATATATTTACCTTCCATTTAGAGCTATTCTTTTATTGAAATGATAAATAACTACGTTTTGATTTAGTTGTTTATGAGAATAGAGATTCTTGGAACATTTTCTTACCTTATAGCGTGATTGAATAGGACAATTTAAGGTACCAAGTAGTATAATTAAAGAAAAGCATTTTCGGTCAATAATATCTTAGTTGATTGATTGTTTTTGCTATATATGGGTGTACATCACTAAAGCTACATGAAAGGTAATTTTAATACGACCTGTACAGTTTACAAACAACTCTAACAGAATAACAATTTTCTAATTACTATTAAACACCAATTACACATAAATTCCCAATAACACATGCAATCCGAATCGCACTCCCGATTCAATACTTAAACCAATCCTAAACACTTGGACTTTGGCTACTGGCAACTTCTAGTTCTATAAACAAAGGGTTGAGGCAAAGGGTTGGAGCTTCCGCCCGGCGCCGTTTCCGGACCGTAACATCCTTCCCTCCTCCAATCCTCTGGGTTGTGTCCGGAGGTACCAGGACCTTGTTGGCGTGTTTTTTTTTGAAGCTACGTATGCTGTGGGTTAATTATTAGTTCTTTGTTGTTGAAACTTTGCTGTTTCATAAGGAGTCTTTACTGAGAATGCACTAATTAGTGTATGGACAGAATATTTAACATCATTGAGGTAGATTTTTGGTTCGCCAGATTATTATAAACTTTGAATTAATGATTATAAAAGTAAGCAGGTCCAATTTAGAGGATTTTTTCATAACAATCTTTTGTTTGTCATGGGTCTTGTAGTTAAAGTTAAAATCGTTTATTTCATAATTGAAATGAACAGGAAGGCACTTTTGAACGTCAAGAAAAAAAAAATTTGTGGAGCTATTTGCTCATTCCAAGGTGCAGATTCCTATGGAGAATAACGAGCAAGAAGGTTTTTATCTAATGAGGTTTTATCTTTAAGAGAGATGTTTTTATACAGTTCTTAAATGAAACTTGATAACTAGAGAACGCCTGAAAAATCACAAGTCTTCTAACCAAGAAACCAAACAATTTAAATAACATAACAAAGCTTTTTAATAATAAATTGTTATTCAAAAATCTTTCATTAATTTAATGTTCTCACAGAAATTTACTTTCAATCTCATGTCATGAGATCGCGTAACCCGCAGGTCGGCGGTTGATCAACGTATTCTGAACTCAACAGCAACAAGGGAATTTATAAAACTTTTATAAAATTATGAAACTCAAAATTAAGTTAAGACTAATTGTTAGTTAATTGAATTTTAAACTTTTGAGTTCATTTTCACATTCAATTTAGACTAAAGTTACTTTCGTTTTAACGTTAATAAAGTGTACATCTTTGATTCAATCCATTTTGAAGTTCCGCGTGATAACGGCGCCTTTTCGCAGTCTATTTTATAAATCTTGAATGATGCATATTTTGATTTATAACAGTAAAATGTTATAATGTTATCTTATCTTATACTCTTATACTATTATATAAAGCGGAAGAGTTTGTTTTTTTGTTTGCTTGTTTGAACGCGCTAATCTCCGTAACTACAAGTCTGATTTAAATTTTTTTTTGTGCTAGATAGCGCATTTATCAAGGATGGCTATAGGCTATAAAACATCACGCTACGACCAATAAGAGCTGAGCAGAGCGTGTGAAACCGCGCGGAAGTAGTCTAGAATATGTTTGTAGAATATGTAGATTTGAACTTTAAAAAGTGAATTTTTAAAATGATTGTTGACGTGTAGAGAAATATGTATGGTATTTATCAAGGTCATACACATTTGAACGTCTTTTTCTTCCTCTTCCTAATATCTTAAAACAACAATTTCTTACTTGTTCTAACTTCTTCCTTAAACTGTCAAATACCAAGCGGTCACCGGTGACCGCGACCTATTGTTCTTTAATTGTGTCTATAAAACCGGTACTCGACGAGTTAAACTGTCAAACACCAAGCGGTCACCGGTGACCGCAATCTATTGTTCTTTAATTGTGTCTATAATGACGGTACTCAACGAATTAAATCAATAATTATAAAATCTTAACTGTATAACCCAATTGACATCTAGATATGACAATTTCACTATAACCTCCCATCACTCCACAATACACAGGGTGTGTCAAAGATGACCAATGTCCGTACTATTGACTAGAAATGGCGTCGTACATTTCGGCCGGCGTTTCGATGCGTCCGGCAGTCCGGGAGTCCGTGGCTCCGCGCGTCCGTGCGTCCGGCGGACGGACGGCAGTGAGCGATGGCCGTATACCGGACACAGTGCGCATTCGTCACCCCGCCATTGTGTGAGACTGCTACTATAGGCTGAATTGGAATCTGTTTTGAATTGAATTGCTGTTTGGGGAATTGGGCTGGTTTTAGTCGTGTGTTATTACATAATGGGTGCGAACTATAATTGAATATCTTGATATCGTAAAGCTAAAAGCTATTTTAAGTAGATAACTGTCATTAAGTACCTAAACAATAAGTAAAATTTCAAATATAATTTTCGTAAGACAAGAAAGAATTATTATGTTTAATGTTGTTAGTTACTGTAATTGGATTTTCTGCCGTTGTGACTGTTTAAAAATAAATAAATAAATAAACGTCTCTCACACATAAATTGCAAATATTTGAGCATTTTCTACTATAGAACACTAAATTTTTACCAAACCAGTACCTGGGCCATCTACAAATGCTACTACTATTTAGTTAGAAACCATTCATACA